GAGACAGGCTCCAGCCTGTCTCGGAGCACCAAAGCTTTGTGTTGCAGAGAGATCAGGAGCTCAGCCAGATGACTCCTTCAGGCAGAGAGCAGTTCCACCTCCCTGGCCAGCAGCAGCCCTGTCCAGCTCTGGTGGAGCATTTCTGGAGAGCAGTGGGCTGAGCTGGGTCTGGAGCTTCCATATGCCGGGCAGGTTGGTTGCAAGGGAGGGACCGTGACACAGTTTTTAATAAGGGACCGCTCAAGTGTTGTGTGCTGATTTAGACTGGTCTGCAAGATAGGTCTGCCCAGAGACGAGGAAGAAGGGGCAGAAAAAGGGTGGGATCCCTGCTGCCCCCCCCAGCTGAACTAGGTGATGCCCAAGAGCCTGATGTGGCGCCAGCATCCCCCCCGTCCTGCTGATGGAAGTGCATAGCACAGTGCTGCTGCCCATTCCCGCGCAGCGGCTGCAGGGCTGTGGACTCTCGCGCCTTTGGCTAGCCATGTCTCTTAGCACCCAGACTCCTTGCCTGTGAGTTCAGGTGCTGTCTGTTAAAGGAAGCGCACGCATGGTTTGGAAAGAAAAAGTCTCTGACCTTAATGAATTGGCAGGAGCTGGTGCCTTAGTAAGTTAAGGGAAATCTTCAAACATGGGAGCCTGGGATTTTCAAAAATATTCCTGGCTTTATAAAGTGTCTTTCCACAGATCTGCTGCAACTGTCTTTGTGGGAGTTACACTCCTCAAACCTGTGGGCTCTTTTGCAACTCCTGCCCTGCCCTCTTGCTGCTTTTTCTTTTAAAAATGAAGGTTGAAAAACAGGAGACTGATCCCCTCCCCCGTACCAAAGGCACACGAAAGCCAGATGTCCGTTCTCAGCTGCCCACTACTGCCCTGAGGAAGGGAATAATTAAGGCAGATAATTATTTCTGAGATAAAGCACTCACCCAAAAGCTTGTTAGGCTATTCGTCATCACCCAGATCTGGAGATGCAGAGACAGCAAGGCTCAGCGTGCTGAGAACAATGGGGATATGTGCTGAACAGTGATTGTGTTTCACTTTCCCTCTCCTTTCCTCTTTTGGCTGGAAATATTTGTCCTGCTCAGAAGGCTTTTCATTCACCTGCAGCCAGGAGTCACTGAATCGCAAAATGAAATGCCATTAAAACAGGAGGTGGCTTAGAAAAGTTGAGCTCACGCAGGCAGGGAGAAGTAAAGCCATGAGGTTTGTAGCTCACCAGTCACATGTGGCTCCTTCGCAGAGACAGGGAGGACAGAGTTTCTGTGAGAAGCCTCATTCACAGAGGTTTCCCCTTGGGACTTTCCAGAGTGCATTTACCAGTCCGCTGCTAGACGGTTCTCATACATAGCAGCAGCATAAAGTCATCAGAGAATTTACTTGTTTGCAAATTTTCTATCCAGCTCTCAGAGGACTCAAGTTCCAGGGCCCCAGGCCTGTTTTACAGAAGAGAGGCGAATCCTTGTGAGGACTGAGTGGCAGAGACAGAGGATGCTGCGTAAGGCAGCAGGGCGCGTTGCTCTTCCCGCTTGGGGAAGTACCGTGTGCTGTTTCAGGCCAGATCCTGCTGCGAGCTCTGTAGGCGTGAAATCTACTGCAGCGGCCAGTGCTCCATCTATGGGTTATCCCTTGCAGCACCTTCTTGCTGCGCTACCTGCCCTGGCCCAGCTGAGCAGGGTTTCTGTGGCTGGCTGGCTGGGCAAGGCTTCTAAATGCCAAGGAAATCATCCTTCTGACGGGAACTGAAGCGTCTGCCAGGGACAAGGCCAGGACAAAAGTGCAGGTAATCACCAGGAACCGTTGTCCACTTTGGGCAGCTGCCAGGGCTGTTCCCCAGAAAGGCTGACTTGCCTTAACTGGACATGGCAAAGCCCCCAGGAGGAAGTCACCTCCTTCCCCCAGCCTGTGCAATGCAATTAATGTTATGTAATTGGCTTAGCCATCTGGTGCCACCCCATAGCCTCCCTGCACCCGGCCAGCACAGGGTGTTCCAGCTTGCCCCCAGCTCCATCACCTGCCTGCACATTGTCAGGAGAGGATGGTCTCCCCGCTGGACCAGATTCCCAGCATCTCCCAGAGACTGCAGCTGCTGTCTGCGAGGGCTCATCGTCTCCTAGGTCTGCGGGGTAAAGCCTTAAGATTGTGCAACTCTGGCTCTGCAGGGAAGGGTCCTGCAGAGGCTGAACAACAGTGTTTCACAGCTTGTTTGGGTCTTCCAGGTTCCGCTTCCAGCTCAGGAGAGAAATGGGGGCCAGCAGGCTGGAGAACAGAGAGCTCCAAAATTTTAATCCCCATTGATGACGCTGGTCATATTGCTTAGCTTCTGTCTGTCTGCTGCTTGGAATGAAGACAATCTCTTCCTCCTGCCGGGAGATTGACTTTTGCAAGGTTTGTAAAGTTATCCAGCTGCATTTCCTCTGTGGAAGGACTGTGGTTCCAAACTGTTGCTAGATCTGACTGAGGAATTTCTGAATTTGAAGTAGTTGTGGGTTTTTTTTTTTCCCCAATTTACTTTCAATGTGAAACTCTTAAGACCTGGCTGGGAAGTTAAGCTCTGACCCATCCAACCATAAGCAAATGGTGGGAATTTAGAAGTGCTGGGAATGCCTGGCAAATGGAATAGGAGTGAGAGGTTTGTACTGCTAATTATCAGTAATGGCAATTCAGTTAGGTCCCTGGCCTTTATTACGGAGGAAGAGCATTCTTGTAAGTAAGCCACGTAGCCTCCTTGCGAGAGACTGCAGTCCAAGTGCTGTATGTTTGTACCCTTCTGATTCCCTTGAGAAAGTCTGGAGCGCTTTGAAGGCTTTCCCTAGAGAGGAATTGCTTCACAGGAAGGCAGCACCCCACGGAGGGAGCTTGGCAGCCATTTAACACCCTAGTGTAGAAGGTGAAGAAGCAGTATCACACTGAAACTTCTGGGGAAATGCAAATAACAGGGTTCTGGTTTGTGTGGGGCTCCAACAGCCCCGGGAGAGTCTCATGGCCCTTTCAAGACAGGGTGTCTCTTTCCAGGACTCAAAAGAGCCAGTGCAGGAAGGCTGTGCTGGCCCCATCATCCGTCAGGGTGAGAACTGATGACTCCACTAGGTCGCTCTAATGGCTCGTCGCGGCCTGGAGGGGCCCTTCTCCAGCCATCCCTTTCCTTGCACCAGCCCTGGCACACATCTCACCCTACTTACTGTTTTTTTTCTGCCAGCTCAGCTCCCTGAACTTGCTCACTTTGTATCATGCTTCTCTGTCTATAATGCTGGCATAAAATCTGTCTCCGTTTTGAAATGGCTGGGCAAGGTTAGACACAGGCAAGCTAGTCTGTTATTATTGTCATAGGAGATATCTGCCCCTGTGAGACAGAAGGTGGCAGACGGCTTACCAAGCTATGCTGAGCAGGCCTAGGCTTACCACAGTTCCCGCAGACAGTGCTAACGAAGGTGCTGCTGAGACGGCGAGCTCTTGGGGAAGGAAACGCGAGCCAGACCCCAAGGGGAGAGGAGTTTCAGGGTGCAATGCTGCAGAGGCTGCGGTGCCTGGGGATTCTCCCAGCTTGCTGAGGCTCCTGCCCCCGGCCCCCGATGCTGTTTGCGTTTCTGAGTAGCACTTTGGGTCTCATCCAACTTCCCTTTCTATGAAAAACTATATTAAAACAAACATCACCTTTTCAAGTGGGTGGAACGTGATCCCCAGACAATGTGCTGAGGCTCTCTTGACGTCACTAAGGCAAGCAAGGGATTTGGGTCTGTTTTCCATCAATGAAACTCTTTAAAAAAAAATCACTTCAGACAGGGGGGCTGTCATTAGTGAATGGCCTGCCACCCCCCCCCCCACCCCCCCCCACAGCAATCACGCAGGATGACAAGCTCAGGAGCCTCATCTTCTGAGGATTTATGCTGTGCTTTACTAATCCCCTCCCGAGCCCCCGCGTTGCCTCCTGCCCAGATGGTGGCTCAGCTCTGTGCAAACAAGTGTGTTTATGGGCTAGTGAAAAAGTCCGGAGTTCACGTAGGGCTCAGCCGATGCCCCGAGCCCTCGGGGCAGCCGCAGGCTAGGTGTTACGGTCTGGGTGTGTTGGCCCACGCATGTTTCTGAGCTAAGCGAGAGGGCTGTGACCTCCGTGCTGAAGCCCATGTTTTGTGGCTGCCATCTGCCTGCCGTGCTGAGCAGGAGGTAACACTGCGTACCCTCTCCTGAGAAGGCAGGCATCTCAGGGCATTGATACCTGCTCCTAAGGCCAGTAAGGCAGTTTCCTCATCGCTGCAGAGCCTGAAAATCCTGCTCCCGCTTCTCAGAGAATTTGCAAGCCGTTTTCTTTCACAACAATTTTGTTTCCTTGCTGCATGGTTTCTGGTGGGAGGAAGAGAAAGCGACTTCAACTTAAAATATTATTGCCCTTAGGGCTTGCCCTGCAACTTAATAACATCACCATGAAATCACCCTTCGTGGCGTCACTGTTCCCTTCCCAGCAGCAGCCTGCATCGCTGCCTCAGCAGGACGCACTGTCAGACTTGAAATCTCCTCTGTGCTCCTTGTATGCTGCTTGGCACCAATCTGTCTGCTCTTCCTTGTTCTGCTACAGCCATGAAACGCTATTAGCAGCAATAGCACTGGCAATGTTTTTACTTCCCCCTTGGATAGTTTTAACAACAGCCTGCCGGCCTGGGCCAGAGGTCTCCTGGTGAGACTCTGGCAAACACATCGGCACCTTTTGCCATTGCAGCCAGCATCTGCCAGGGGTGGGGTGTCCCAACAGCACTGTGGGTGACCGCTTGGACTTTGTTGCCCCAGATGAGCTCTCCTCTACCCTGGGAGCAGCAGAGGCATCTGAGCAGAGGCCACGTGTCACAGCTCGGCATGGGGAGTTCAGACCCTCTGCCTGAAGCTGGCTGTGGCAAAGGACGCTCCCCTGCTCTCCAATCAAAATAACCCCCCACTTTTTGTTCCCGTGTGGCAGGATCCCTCACCGGAGAGGGCACAGAGCCCTGAGCTAGGCCCCTCCACCCAGATCAGCCATGGTGCTTCCCGTCACCGGCAGCAACATGGAGCTGCAGCAGGACGACAGCCTCTGCATGCACAACAACATGGGCAGCTGGCGGATGAAGCACGAGGAGCCTCGAGGTCGGAGGAACTCTATTCCCCCCGTGCAGACTCCCACAGCCAAGCACATGCTGGCCTACCTACCTCGGCCACCGACAGACACCAGCAGATACGGCACCTTCCCTCAGAAGGTAAGGTCGCTTTGATGCCGTGGGTAGTCACTTCTGTCACTCGTCACCGGGTGCAGAGCCCTCTCCAGCACACGAGATGAGGACTGTCTGCCTGTCTCCCTAGACAGTCCTGGCGGCTTGTTGCCTGCAGTGGGTGTGAGAGCAGATGGTCAGGCCAGCCGGGTGCTGCGGGTCTCCCTGTAGCTGGGAGGACTGCGTTAGTCCCAGGGGATAAGACTAACAAAGAGGACAAAAGGAAATGATTTAACACTGATTGGCTCCTTTCTTTTGCAGCCTGAAATCCCAGCCTTTTCTGTGGTTCTAGTGGAAGACAGCCGACAGCAAGCAGGCTCCGAACCTGCAAAGAGAAGTGCCCTCGTATCAAACTACCTTCCCCTGCCCTGCAGCACCAACACCCCCAACAACCAGTTGCTCCTTCAGAGCCGGGTGAGCGTAACGGACCCCGAGGCCCTCCTGCCCACCAAGCACCGGCCCAGTGTCTTCATCAACACTGAAGAACTGCCCACGTACCATCGAGCATCGTGCCACGACCCCCCTCCTCCACCGCGGGACATCAACACCCGGTGGTACCCACAACACGCGCTCAGCGTGCCAAACATCCCCAGCTCGGCACGGAGCAAAACACTGACCCGGAGCATCGTCTCCATCCCCACTGCAGAGAAGTTGCACAACCGGCGCTGCAAACTCATCGATGATGACCGGCAGTTCAGTCTAGCAAGCAAGCAGCAACGCCAGCGTTACGTGACCAAAATGGGCAAGTGTCAGGTGAACCTGGGCAACATCCAGGAGAAAAAGAGGTTCTTGTCTGATATTTTCACCACCCTCGTGGACCTCAAGTACCGCTGGTTCCTCTTTGTTTTCATGATGTGCTATATTGCTACCTGGGTTGTCTTTGGTGTCATTTATTTCTTTGATGCTTGGATAAGGGGTGACGTCAGCCACATCGGCGATCCGGAGTGGAAAGCATGTATCGAGAACGTGGACAATTTCATATCTGCCTTACTCTTCTCTGTGGAAAGTCAGAGGACCATTGGCTATGGCTCCAGGATCGTGACAGCCAACTGCCCTGAGGGTGTCATTTTGCTCATGGTGCAGTCCATCATTGGGTCCATGATCGATGCCCTTATGGTGGGATGCATGTTTGTCAAGATCTCCAGGCCCAAGAAACGTGCGCAGACCTTAATCTTCAGCAAAAACTGTGTCATCTCCCACCGGGACGAGAAACTCTGCCTGATGTTCCGTATTGGGGACCTCCGGGATAGCCACATGGTAGATGCAAAAATAAGAGCTAAATTGATCAAATCCAGACAGACCAAAGAAGGGGAGTTCATCCCCTTAGAGCAGTCAGAGCTGAACCTGGGCTATGACACAGGAGAGGACAGACTGTTCCTGGTTGAGCCCCAAATCATCTGCCACGTGATCAATCAGCACAGCCCCTTCTGGGAAATGTCGGCAGAGTCACTGAAAAGGGAGCAGTTTGAAATCATCATAATCCTTGAGGGCATTGTGGAAGCCACAGGTGAGCGCTGTGGAGGATCCGGGCAGGCCTTGGGGGATAGTTCATTTCCCAGATCTGCAAGTAATGACCATTTGCAAGACACGAGGCACTGAACAGGCGTAGCACTCTTCAGGTCTTGCTTCCTCTCCCCTTGGGCAAAGGACCCGTGATCCCTATGCCCTGCGGATTTTATTTGAGAGAGAAGTGTGCTATAAGCAAAGGGCCTGCCGGCTGTTGGCAATGACTCCTTCAGAGATTGTGGAGAGGCACGTGCATCCCCCAGTGCTGCACGAGAGCTTGGGGAGGGAGGAAAGTGCACTTGTAGTATCTCCTATGGAGGAGTGTGTCTCTCTGGAGAGAAACTGAACCATGTTCGGAAAAAATCCTCCTGCTTTCTGATGCAATCACGCCCTTTCCAAAAACAAACAGGCACTGCTCCCCCCTAGACCCCAGAAGTTTTCCCTTTGCAGAGGCAGCAAGTTCATTTCTGTCCCCTAGTGAGGACAAAGAGAATCCATCTCTGCTATTTGCCTACAAAATATTAATCAGGAGTTATCCGGAGTCCCGCTAAGCACCGTCATCTCGTGCTCATCCCAAGAGCAGAAGCAGACTCTCCCCAGCAGGTTGTTCGCTAGGGTTTTCTCTTTCCTGCTGCCCAGTGCCCAGATCAGTCCCGTTTATCTCATTTTGACTTCTACAGTGCCACGGGTCAGAGTGCCAGTTAGTAAACCCGGGTTTGAGTCACATATCCCAGAAACACGTATCTCAAAGCGTACTCCAAAACTGGTTCCTCTCTAGAGATGTTACTCAGAGGCAGAACAGGAACTGGAATTTGCCAGAGCAGGATACATCGTAGATACTGATTACTCCAGTATCTGATCCCTGAGGCTGGGCAGACAAAAAAAATGCGCTACAGTTCGAACCATTCCCACAGTGAATTCTTACCCAGCCCTCTTTAGTCAGTGGGTGACATTCTGGGCTATACTTTTTGCTTTTCCTTTTGACAGCATGATAACATTTACTGGGCCAAACTCTCAACCTTTCCTTGCTGCAGGGATGACGTGTCAAGCCCGCACCTCTTACACTGAAGACGAGATCCTTTGGGGATACCGTTTTGAACCCTGCATGTCCCTGGAGAAAGGAGCCTTCCAGGTAGACTATAGCAGATTTGAAATGACATTTGAGGTGCAGACACCAGTGGTGAGTGCAAAAGAGATGCATGAAATGAAAGAGTTGGAGTGCCAGGACCACTCCACGCTGAGCTTGTACTGGGACCATCTGCTGCACCCCTGTGTTTCAGCGGAGCTGAACGATAACCTGCAAGGCGCCGGGCCCGGTGAGGAAGCTCTAGGCCGACTGAGCATCCGCAGCATCATGGAGGAGGAAAGGAGCACCCAATTCCAGAACCAGGGTGCTGCTGTCTGAGCAGCTCCCTAGGAGGGGGGGGCGACAGGAGACGGCTTAGCAACTGTCTTCGCGTTTCAAGGACTGTCGTGGGGTGGGACAGAACCAGAGGGGGAAGCGCTGCTCCTCCTCAGCCAACGTACACACGCTCACCGGACCTCGACAGCCGGCCGCAGGCTAGCTCTGGTGCAGCGGTGTCTTTTGCACTACGCCTGCCCGTCGCAGGCGCTCGCTTACATGTGACTTTAATACAACCTTGCTGCTAAGGAGGCAGCCACGATACAGGAACCCTGTGGCTTCACGTTTCCGAGTCCAGCCTTAGGGAAAACACCTCAGTACCAGCAGCTCGCTTCAGGCAGTGAACCTCATAACCAAGTGCTTGCTGGCATAACAGAGCGCTTGAGGATGAGACATCAGTGCAAGGGGTTAAATTTAGGGCTCCTGAATCTAAAAGTCCCTGTTTGTGCTGCCTGGGCAAGAGGCCTGTAGAAAGCCCCCAGCCCCGCAGAGAGGGGGCAGAACCACACTGTGGCGATGTGGGGCCAGGGACCAGAACTGTTACAAAACACTGCAAACTCGTGGTGCTCCCCCCGTCCCCTGGTATGCCAGGTCTGTCCCTCTGGTTGAACTCATGCTGTTACCAGGCCATGCACGTTCTTCGTGTACTGCAGGCACCCAGAGCTGGGGCCCCCATAGAAGTGTCTCACACTGCCAGTGCCATATTGGACCCTTCCTCTGCATGAGGCGACCCCCTCTTCCTTCGAGTAGCCCACATCCCCGAGCCGTCTCCTAAATCCAGCCTGTATCTCCAGCAACGACTGCAGCTAAGTGGCATTATTTTTGCAAAGCTCTGTTTTTGTAACAAGGAACATAAGGTCCAAACAACAAAAGATTAAAATCTCTTCGCTAAAAAAAAGAAAAAAAATAAAAAGCAAAAAAACCCACAGCGATGGCTTGTTCGTACAATTATTTTCGGGTGCAACTCAAGCTGTGTTTAGCTGCAGAGCTTCTGAGGAGCAAAGTGAGGCTGCGCCCCAGAGGGGACCCTCTT